CTCCCGCGAGAAGGGACGCAATTCTCGGCAGGCATGCATTTCTCGGTATAACATCGGAAGTCCTGGAATGGTTAGCGCTAGCTCGAAGCTACTTTTGCACATTTGTTATTTCCCTAGTTTTGTCACAGCCTAGATGGATGAGGACTGAATTTGAGATTTAGTTGACCGTCTCGGTATGTATTAAGTCATTTAGAAATATGAGACAGTTGTCACTCTGCTTTATTTTTTTCCATATTTGTTATTTTAGCCGCTAGCCATGTTTCGCTAGCTGCTGTTAGCATAAAGATTTGAGCTAAACATCATTATCAAAATATGTTTGTGATATTAATTTATTCGTTTGCCAATCTCTGGCTGGTTATTAAATCTTTTTGAATATTTTAAAGGGCACTTAAAGTATTTGCATGTTTATTAAAACGTTTAATACTGTGTTAGCATCTAGTTAGAACACATCAACCACAGCAGGTTGTTAATCATACTCTCGATTTATAAAGCTTCTGAACGGGGTGCTTTTCTTTCTTTTCTACAGCGGTTGGTCTGACTGAGGGGCATCAATCATGTATGCCTCAGGGAAGTATGGCTCCCGGGGCCCTGCTTTAATCCCTCGAATGAAAACCAAACATCGCATCTACTACATCGCCCTGTTCTCCCTTGTGTTGCTGGGACTAATCGCCACTGGGATGTTCCAGTTTTGGCCACACTCCATTGAATCCTCAGCTGAATGGACACTCGAAAAAGGGAGCGTACACGACGCTCCTCTCATCCGACTACCTGTATCCAGCCCCATACCAGAGAGGGGGGACCTAAGCTGTCGAATGCACACCTGTTTTGATGTGTATAGATGTGGCTACAATCCCAAGAACAAAATCAAGGTATCTAAAAACCGCCAGATGATTTGGTTTCAGTATTTTTTGTTTTAGTTTTGATATAGAATTTATTTATTTTTTTGTAGGTCTATATTTATCCTCTTCAGAGGTTTGTGGATGAATTTGGAGTCCCCATCAGCAGTACTGGACTGTCACGAGAATACAATGACCTTCTAAGTGCAATCTCAGACAGTGACTTTTACACTGATGATGTTACCAGAGCCTGTCTATTTGTCCCATCTATTGATGTGCTCAATCAGAACTCGCTTCGTGTCAGAGATACAGCCCAGGCCCTGGCAATGCTACCCAGGTAAATAAAATAGATGTTAAAATGTTGTTTTTGAGAGGATCGGCAGCAGCATTGTGTTGTGGTTAAAAAAATTTCTTTGGAAAGTCAACATTTTATTTCAAAAACTGCTTTTAAGAAACTATAGACATGTTTTTGTAGTGTGTTTTTATTGATTTTTGTTTCACCAATGTTATATCAAATATAAGCGTTCAGTTGTTCACACATTCACAGTCTGATGGTAGCGAGCTACGTTGTAGACCCAACTGCCACATTGGTGCCTGATAAAGCAAAAAAAATTTTTGTACATGATTGCAATTAAATGGGCTACCAGCTGAGACTGATTTATTGGTGTTTTCAGTGTGCTCAAGCACAAGAAGGGTTGTGCTTATATTAAATGCAGTGGCTAAAGAAATAGGAAAAACAATTTCCTGCATGTTATAAAAAAAAATACAATAAGGAATAATCTTTTTAAATATGTGATTAGGGAAGGTAATTAAGAAAATCCCAAAGGAGAATATAATCATTGATAGCTGCTGACACAAAACTTTAATTCTATATTTGACAGTGTTTTTTTTTGTTTTCAACCATATCTATACTGACATTTGGATTTAGCTACCTTGTTTCTTCCTTAACTAATTGTATTCTTTATTTTTGATAGATGGGACAAAGGAATGAACCATTTGCTTTTCAACATGTTACCTGGAGGTCCCCCAGACTACAACACTGCTCTGGATGTGCCTAGAGACAGGTAGCTGAAGTACCTTTTCGAATACCTTTACGAATGCACCTAATATAATGTTTTATTTCTAGTCAATGTTTACATTAAAACCTGCTAGCATTTACCCTTCAGGTTAAAAATAACTGTTTCGAATTTGCTTGAACATAAAATGGCTTTTTCATTTCATGTGAAGTCAGTAACCTCAAATAAGGTCCCACTTTAATTTCAAAATATTTTTTCCCTTTAGAAAATTTTTCACATTGAGCTATTTTTCTTTAACGCTCGTGTCAATTTATTGTTTTAGAGCCCTTTTGGCAGGAGGCGGTTTCTCCACTTGGACATACAGACAAGGTTATGATGTCAGCATTCCAGTCTATAGTCCTCTTTCAACAGATGTCGTGCTGCCTGAACGACAGCCTGGGTGAGCCAATGTCAAACACATATTTCACATATTCAGTGTCAAATCATAACCAATCTGAAACAGCTGGGATTGAGATTGGCCTTTTGGTCTTACATTTCTGTAGGCTAAAGAATTATTCAAAGTAACCAGCCTACTGAATAACCACACTATATTAACATTTTCTGCATTATTTGTCCCTTTTTTTTTTTTTTTTTTTTTTTTTTTTGGCAGACCGAGGCGCTACTTCATTCTGTCCTCTCAAACAGCAATTCACAGAGAGTATCGAGCTGAACTGGAGCGTTTAAAGGAAGAAAACGGAGATGCTCTACTTCTGCTGGACAAGTGTAGCAACCTTTCCCAGGGTGCTGCCTCTGCACGGAAGCGATGTTACAAAGGGCAGGTGTACGACTACCCCCAGATCCTGCAGGTGGGACACAATAACTTTCAGCTTTTATTACGATGAAACAGCGTTATAGATTCTGAAAGGCCTTGCATAAAAAAAATACTGCACAAAATCAGTGCAATGAGTGCAATTCAATACCTCGGCTCCAGAGTGTCGACGTCCCCGCCCCCTCCACAGACACTCCGCTGCACCTCTCCCAAATTGTAGCTGACCGCAGACAGGAGGCCGGCTTGTTTTGTTATTATGACCGAAATTGCGGAAAACAACTCTTGAAGTTTGACCAGCTAGAAGTGCGAGGTGCGCGAGAACGCTGGGACCCTTTTTCCACCTGGATCTCCGCTCTTTTTGGCCCTCATGTCCCTCTGTTGTCGGACTAAACTTGCCCCCACTTCCTCACCGCCTCGGTCGTATCTAGACACACAGTGTGTAACACAGATGCTTCCATATTGAGCATATATAAAAAATGTCTGTGTCAAGCTTACTGCAACACAAAATAGGGCAAAATAGGTTTGGCGCCACCGCAGCACGGGACGGAGAATTACGCACAGGAGCAAATGGATAAAAATAGACTGGAGAAAAAAAAAACATGAATCGATACTCTTGTGGACGAATCGATACTCTTGTGGACGAATCGATACTCTTGTGGACGAATCGATACTCTTGTGGACGTATCGATGCGTCGGCTGTGGGATCGATGCATCGATACAAAAAGATTATTATTTAAAAACAAAGCAGAAGAAGAGAATCATGAAGCTTTTTAAAGTGGTGCATTATTTTCTACTAGCATGTCAATAGAACACATCTTTACAAAAACACTAAGCTGCACCCATATGTCTATAGAAACATATAAAGTCGTCTCAGCTGAAGTCACCTTTCTAACTGTCTGGCAGTGGGACTGCATGGCTCTCAAACAACCAGTTTACTTCTCTTTAGTGGAATTGATTTATTGGACCTCACTGGATTTCAAAAAGCTCGTGATTGAAAGATTATCTGGTTTGTTGGAAAACTACCTTTTTGTCTCTGGCTTTTTGTCCATATATATTAACCTCGTCTCTTGTATGGTTTCCCTAGGAGTCATCTTTTTGTGTGGTTTTGCGGGGGGCACGTTTGGGTCAAGCTGCCCTCAGTGACGTGCTGCAGGCTGGCTGTGTCCCTGTCATCCTGGCTGACTCCTACATTCTTCCATTCTCTGAAGTCCTTGACTGGAAAAGGTTGGCCAAAAGCTAAACATATTGACTGATTAAGAAAAAAAAAAAAAAAAAAAAAAAAAACAAGTAGATGTGTTTACATTTTATTCATTTTTATTTATGTTTTCTTTCCTGTGCAGGGCTTCTGTGGTCATTCCAGAAGAGAAATTATCAGAGATGTACACCATCCTGAAGAGCATTCCTCATAGACAAGTTGAGGAAATGCAGAGACAGGTAACAGTCTCTTTATACAGAAATCAAAACACCCCTTCAGTCAACTTTTATCACCTTTTAAATACTGGAAATGTACAAAGTTGCATCCGCTGCTTTGGGAAGTTGTGCCAATAATGTTGGAGCAGTACCTGTGTCTTAAATGAAACCTCATTTACACGTTTCACTTGTAGATGCCAAAACATTTTTAGGAAACAAGAGCCATGAGTTTGGATCAAAATGTCCCTTTTATACATTTAAAATTTCTCTCATATTCACTTACCCCATAGAGGATTTAACTGTTTATTTTAGCCCGAGTGAATAAGCCTTCTTCTCTTTTCATTTGATGTCTGCCTTCAGCCACAATAAACAGAGGTGAAAGCGGTAATACACTACTTCAGCTGCTCCTTATTCCCTTGTATCAACTATTGTCCATTTACCAATTACTCTGGCCAAACACATTTTATGCCAGAGACACATAGATGGGTTTGGATTACAGCATAGCAGCTCAAACACATGGTTTGCTCTGAGGGCTGCTGACTTTGCTGGGGGTTAACAGCTGAGGACAGCTCATAGCTGTTGACGCAGCAGACATCTCCTAGGTTTACATATTGGCTGCTGAACATTGAGTGTTCCAATGAGATGAACTGTTAGTAAACTGATTTTAATCAGAAGCAACAACCACTGAAAACAAGTAACTAAATCTGCCAGTGTGATGTCACATATTGAAAAAAGCTGATGGTAGATTTATCTCTTAAGTTTGTCATGACTGATCAAATTGCATGAAATGTTTAATGAACCCAATGTTTAGAACTGGAAAAAGATGGTTAAAATAACAGCAGTAGAGTCTATGTAGTATATTTACTAGTACATTTTTATATATTCAAACAGAGAGAATATCATTGTCTCTCTATGTTATTGTCCTTGTTTTTTTTTTTTTTTTTTTTTTTTTATTCATAAAAACCAAAAAATACTCTTGGAAACCTACTGTTGCTTGTTAAAACACAATCAAGCCAATGTTGAATATGTCCACTAGATTAGCCACTTGTCTGTTTTTTTTATGTGCAACTTTTAACCTGTAGCTGCTTTGAAAAATTTCTCATTGTTTGTCACATCAAGCAACCTTAAAATATCAAGATTGACCAGTTTCAAAGGGGGAAAATTTTATAGTACAGCTTATGTTTTACATCAGTTTTGCCAGCAGGGGGCTAAGCGGACCACAGTTTTGTGGCCTCTCTACATATTGGAGAGGGTTTAGGATTAAACATTTTTTGAACTCTTTAATAACAAGATATATCAATTAAAAAGTTGCATTGAGTCTATTTCAAGGTTTTTTTTTTTTTTTATTTGATCTTTGTTATATTTCCTTTTCAGAAATAAGCAGTTTACAAAATAACATTTGTATCACGCTAAAGATAATAAAAAAGTAATTAAATTTTAATTTTAAAAAAAGATGAATTTTATTGTAATAGGGATTTAATTATTAAGGAATAAAAGGTTCACTTTCTTGAGTTGAATTTAAGTTGAGTCAAGTTTCATTAATCATATATATATATATATATATATATTATTTATTTTATTTTTTTTACTCTCTTTATGTGCCATAAATGAATTTGATTTCATTATTAAACATTTCTTAATCTAAACTATAGAAATCCATATCAGTGCTGTCACTGATATGGATTTTTTTCCTTTTCAGGTAGTCAAGTAGCTTTATTGGCAAAATTTGATTATATCTACATTTCCTAGCCAACAAAGTTGTACCATTGTGGTAAATTTCAATCACAGAGTTTGACAAAAGGTCAAAACTTTGGCAGATTTTGTTTCTATATGTAAACTATATAGATTTACGGAAGAGGATTAGGGCCACTGAAAAAAAAAAAAGTTGACTGATTTTTTTTTTTTTATTGTATTTCAGTATAGTATGGGAAAAAAGTCAGAATTCTGACTTTAATCTCAGAATTCTGACTTTTTTCCCCATGTTAAACTGAAATAAAATTTAAAAATCAGTTAACTTTGTTTTGTTTTTTTTCAGTGGCCCTAATCCTCCTCCGTATAGATTTCTCAATATTTCTGTTTTTTCATGTTAACATCGTACATAAGGCAATTGGTCAACCTTCTGTAGATTTGCTGAAAAGTTTGTATTTTTTATTTTGTGTAGCTGCATTTATGTTTATATTTTTCTTATGTTGTCAAAAAGTCAGAATTCTGACTTTTTTCTCAGAATTCTGACTTTTTTCTGAGATTAAAGTCAGAATTCTGACTGAATTCTGACTTTAATCTCAGAATTCTGAGAAAAAAAGTCAGAATTAAATTTTTTAGAAAATGAATTCCCTCAAAAACTGTGTGAAAAGCAACCCTAGGAAGATTAGATGATGGTGTCTGTCCTCTCCTATGAAAGTGTTTGGTTCCTTTTTTTTCTTCTCATAAAAATTCCTGCTGACATGGGGATGGGGCGGGGCACTGGGATGGGGGGGCCCCGGAGGCCGACACAGTTTTCTTTCTACCCCCTCCCTGTCGGAAAAGAAACTTTCATCACTGGTTGATTTATAGGCCCCTGAGATTAGAAAGTCTTTCTAGATACACTTCAACCCCCCGCTGTAAAACTAAACTCTGTTTTTGTGCTTTTGTACAACTCGTTCCTTGCACAGGATTTTATGATTTAGATCCTGGCAAAATGTTTACAAAGGACAGACTCATTAGCTAATAACATATGCATGGCTTGCATTAGGAGGAAGAAATATTATTGTCCTCTAGTTGTCTGCTGTCCATATGAAGAAGAAATATTTGTTTTCTAACCCAATCCCATCGATAAATTGTGGTTTAAAGCTTTATTACCTCTACTTGTGTGTCTTTTTTTTTTTTTTTTTTGTCATGCTTTTTAGTATTTTTACCTCTGTTCCGACCATTGCGCTTCAATTAAGCCAAAGCCGCATTCATTAGCTCACAGGTTTTATGTTAAAGGCCTTCAGTTTGGCTACAAACAAAATGTGTATTCAATTGTGAGTGAGGAATCCAGCACCCTATGTGATAACATTAAGATATGGGTTAAGAGTTCACTCATCAGAAAGTCTGTTATCCAAACAGCGATCTGCTGAAGGAAAACAGAGACAGACAAGAGAGATTTCAGAGGGCTTCAAAAGAGCTGTTGAAGGACAAGAGGCTGCTCAGGGGTGTAAAATATTCTTTAGACATGTGGTGCAGGAGGAATCTCTGAATTTTACAGTAATGACATCACAGCTGTGCTATCTTCTATATGAGCTGTTGAAAAAGATAAAATAAAAGCCATGAATTTAACAAGAAAATGCATCAAAACTGAATTAATTTATATTTTCCCTACAGGATAATAGATGTTTTTATGTCAATACTATCTAAGTTTCAGGCCTCTTTTATTTATTAAATTTTTTATATATATCCTGTTCCACACCATGATATAACAGAAGAAATTCATTTTGACAAAAGCAAAGTCTCATGAGGGAAAAGTGATTGTTGCCTTCAGGAATGTTTTGGGTGTTTCTTCCTCTGTCTAAAATGTTTTGATATTGCTGGAATTTGGCTAAAACTGTTTAGAAATTTGTTCGTCTTTAACATCTGCTTGCTTTGTCATTCCACTGCCAATGAGCTCATGTGATTCTGGTGGATTGTATTTTGTTTTTGTTCATTTGCATGTGTAGAATTGTCGGCACCAGGAAAGATTGTTCGGTGACTTCACATTTTCTTATTTCTTTCCCTTTTGGATTATTTTAAACTAATGGTATATATTTTTAAATTACTATTATGTTTAACAATACATTTGACTGTTCTCTTTCCTGTGTTTTTAGGCTTATTGGTTCTGGGAGGCCTACTTCAGCTCTATGAAAGCTATTGGCCTAACTACACTCCAGATCATCAATGACCGCATATACCCATACGCTGCACGTACTTATGAGCAGTGGAACAATCCACCTGTTGTGGTATGTATGCCTTTCTGTTTTGTTCTGGTTTGATTTGTTTTAAATCTCATCTGTGCTACAGCTCCTCTCTTGCACTCAGCTAGACCCGATTTGTCACTTTTCTTCTCAGAAGTGTTTTTAACGGCTGATGTCTAGATGACACTCATCAAGATTGAAGCTTTTGTCAAACAGGCGCTCACAGTGCCACATGAGCTTTCCCCCATCTCTTGTGTGCTATAAATCAGATCCCATTTTGTAAAGCGGTGAGACACATGCTGGGATGAGACACATGGTGTGTCTCATGGTTTGGTGTTCCAACCTGAGAGCTATGGAGCAGCCAGTTGGTGTCAGCAGTTCTGCAATAGGCGGATGCCTCATCTGTGGTGAAAAATAAGTTCCTGTGTGTCTTAGTCACCGTGTTTATAGAGAGTATTGTGGATATGCAGAGTGCTGTGCTTTGGATGCGCCAGCAGACATGTTGGCTTAGCAACCATCTCTTAGGAGTTGTTAATCAGCCTGGTTTAATCTGGAGACTCCTCCAAATTCTGTCTGTGGGATAGAGGAGTGTGCATGTCAGCATGTTTGTGGATACGTAAAGTAATGTCTTTGAATTAGCTAGATGTTAGCAATTACTGTAATATTAGTGTCGTAGATTCATAGTGCTTTGATTTGTTGGGTTATTTTGTGTATATTTCTTTTTTAGAGTAGATCTTTTGGGGAAACTAGTTGTGTTTTATTTGTTGGTTCTAGGTTACGCTATTGCAGACAAACGGGTAGCTTGTATTCAGTTATACTAGACATTTCCCTTTAAATGTTCTGTCAGAGCATGTTTTCCTCCAATCCAATCTGTCAGCATGATCCTGTGGCCACAAAGTTTTTTTGTTTTTTGTTTCCAGACAGAGAGGAGGTTAATGACACTGGTATACAGACCTTTGGCCATTCCTCCCAAAAAGGGAGATGAAGTGTTTTCTTGATGGATTCAGTGAATGGGCAGTGAGAAGAACTTGCAAACAAAACTATATAAATCAGAGAGAGGTTTTTCTGCCTCTCCCCCTTCAAGTTTTTGGAGTAATGATTATAAACACATTTGTAGTATTGTGGGTGCTTTTGGAGTGGAGAGTTTTGAAAATATGGGAAAAACTGCTGTATGAATGTTTGATATTTGTGGGGTTGGAGGAGCAAGATTATGCAAAATCCCAAAATCTCCTAAATGTAAATGATTTGACCTCAGAAAAGTGCAAAAATCAGTCAGGCAGTTTCCTCTTGTCATAAAAACACATTGATAGGCAGTTCAAATACTTTAACAAAACCACGCCCCTTTTTGTAAAAAAAAAAAAAAAAGCTGAACCAGCAGAACATCTTGTTGCACTTTTTTGTGTTTATTACTTATCTTTTAAAACTTTTCATCTCCATTTATGGCTTCATACATATTGTAGTTCTTTGATTATTTTATGCAACCCAAAAAACTTTGAACCTGCAGTATATTTTTATGTTTACGGTTTAATGTTTAGGTGTATGTTTAGATGTTAGGGTTCTTACTAGAAAAAAAGTTCAAAATCATTAAACCTAAAGGAAACGTAGCCATGCTGAGCTCAGTATATCTCTACTAGAAATGTCAGGTTTTTTTATTTCATTGATGCATATCACATTACATATATATATTTTTTGCTTGATGTAGAAGTGCCACAGAAATTAACTAAATTGCTTGTGAAAGTACTTTAAAAGTAAGCATTAAAGCTCCTGTCATTTTATCCGATTACACCAACAGTAAATCAGAATGTTTAAAATGTTTATGCACTGTTTAAAGTTAAGTATCCAAGGCCAACATGGATGTTTTGAGATGTAATCCCACTACATGATATCATCTCTAATTTCTTTTCCTTTGAATGATTCTGGGATGAGAAGGAAGAAGCACTTTTAACAAATGAAAATCCTCTTTGAGGCTCTTTAAAAGTGTTAGAAAAAAAATACATACTGCTGCAACTCTATGGTGACTTATTGAACTGAGGATTTCTTTTCATTGTGTTTGACAAATGACTAGACTGTTCTCAGTCTGTTCCACTTTGCTTTTATGTATCTCTATATATGTTGCTTTAATTATTTCCACCCTCTTTCTGTATGACAATGTGACAACGACCACAGGAAAGTTTCCACTTGTAAGTTAAGTGAAACTTTATTAGTGGTGGAGTGACTGATGTTGTGTAAAAGTGAGTGATTGCATCTGTGTTGACAGACTTATGTTGATGTTATGAAAAGAGCCACATTATCACTTTATAAACAAAGGAGACCAGAGGATAAGCAGGATCCATAAGAACTTATAGGAAGCTTTAGTTGTTTAATTTTTTATTTTGTATATGATCAAATGATATTGAAAAAGAGTTTGAGCCTTTGATGCAGTGTTAATGGATCCATTGAGGGTGAGAGTGGTGGTCAGACTGGTGGTAGACCGGTTGGTTCCTGTCCCCATGATGTGCAGCAGAGGCCAAGCAGGGACTTTAGTGAACCAGTCCGCCGCCCAGTTAGACACACCCGGGCCTCAGATCCTGGACGCCCTCGCCCCAGGGGCCGGGGGGATAGAAAATTATGCCACCCAGCCAGCTGTCTGACATTTTTCCCATCAGCAGCTGAATTTCTGAGCTGCTCATACTGTAGATCCATGGGTGGTTGCCACCTTGACCAATGGATACAGGCTCCAGTTTAGGCAGAGAAGGCAAACCTGCGGCAAGCCGGGCGGTGGGTAAGAATGAGAAGATTAGAAAAAGTGAAAAAGTGTGGTGTGCTGCAAGAACTGTGCTGAACTGGTGACAGAAAAGTGCAATGGCGTGCTCAAAAATTACCCTGCACATTTTCAGTTTGTTTGACTCAACCTACTGCTGTGAACCAGGATTTTCCACCATGAACAGAATCAAAAATAAATATCGATCCAGGCTCAAAATGAGCACCTTGATATGTGCTTGAGAATGGCTTTGTCTCCATTCAAACCCAGGTTTAAAGCCTTGCAGGGCAGTGTAAAGCCTACTTCTCTCATTAAGCCATAAAAAGTAAATAAATAAAATAAATGGTCAGTTTAGGTGGTTTATAAAATATGTGAATCAGGAAATTGTCTATATACCAAACTGAAAGATTGGTATATAAACGGAATTTTTTTTTTTTTTTTTTTTTATATTTCTTTATTTAAAAAATCAGTGTATAGCATGGATTCATAAAAAAACTCATTTTATTTCAGTGTTAAATTCTGTTTAAAGTAACAGATTATAATTAAAAATGTCTCAGGACCTTTACTGGTTGTTGATTTTCTTTATTCGGACAACGCTAATTTTTAATTGGTGACCCCTGCCGTAGAGGTTAGTTTTATCATCAGCAAGCTCCTATTGCATCCTGTTTTACTGTGTTATTCGATCTAACCTGGAGTCGGTGTGACTTTTAGGATTTAAAGTGCAGCAATAAAAACAGAAAAAACAAACTTCATTCTGATGGCTGGAAGTCACAGCCAGATGAACTCCACTCTTTTACTCTTCTTATTTGTTAGCGTAACAATAGTATAACAGTAGCATAACAGTAGGTACACATAAATAATATAATTTGCTTGTTTAAAAGGTCCCTCCTGATCTTATGTCCCAGGTGTTTCATTTGGTCTTTACTAGATGGTTTCCTGGAGTTTCTGGTGGGATTTGAGCTAAACTTAAGTGCAAAAACTAAATGGTGGCTTCATTAAGAATAAAATATTAATAGTGATTGCCTTTGGACCTGTAGAAACTGTTTTTACTCATTTAGAGAATGAGCAAGGCATTAATGACAATAGATTTATGACATTGTTTTGGAAAAAAACAATTTTGAACACATTTTTAGAGCCAAATGGATGTAAAATACATTTATAAGGAACCATTATAGTCATTGTATTTGTTATATTAGCAATCCCTAAATATACAATAACCTTGTGGAAAGATAATTTAGCTACTATAAAAGTCTGATGTGCAGCTCAGCATGCTACTGAATTCTACTAAAATCCACGTTTACTCCTGCTTTTGATTTTTGCAGGACTCTTTTAGCTTCAATTAAGATTCATACTAATATAAAGTTTCTGCAATTAACTAGGTAAATGCTGAGTAGAGGAAACCATATCATTTGGCTTTATGACTTTCAGCGTTTGTTTAAAACCACTTTTTGTGTTTAAATGTCTACTATGAAGACTCCTGGGGTGTCTCTTAACGCTCTGTTTGTCTGGGGCCCCTTGAATGCCAAGCCCATTTGGGTTTGTTCCTTTATTTAATTTTTTTATGGTAATTAAGTTGGAATTATAGTTGGCTTCACACGTTATTTCTCAACAGTAGCTTTTCTGTGCTCTGGTCTGTTTACTTATTAATGAAGTGGGAACTCCATTGTTTACCCAGATGTTGCTGTTTTTGTCCAGTTTTATACCCTTAAAAACATTTATACCCATATTGTTAGAAATTGAATAAGTGGAAAATATGCCCTTGTAGTTTAGTACTTAGTGGTCAAAGTCCAGTAGCAAGAGGCTCCTTGTGGTATCTGAACAAAAACTGCAGCATATTAAGGAGATAATCAGTGAGCAGTGCCTCTGTGTTTCACATGCCTCTTATTGTTTTGATTTGGTTTATTTCTTTAAAGTTGTGTCTTAGCCTCACATGTATGCTATCATACCACATAGATTTCATTCTCAATGTAAGTACAATTATAGATAATCGGGTTTACAAAAAAAAGTCACAAAATAGAAGACAAACATGTTTTTGTTGGATGAAAGAAATGTAGCTAACACCTTTCTACTTTTCTTGTCTTTTCTCTTTGTCTTGTGCAGAAGTGGTCCAGTGTCAACAGCCCACTTTTCCTTCCACTTATCCCACCAAGAGCTCCAGGGTTCACAGCAGTGGTGCTAACCTATGATCGCGTGGAGAGCCTTTTCCGGGTCATCACAGAGATTTCCAAAGTTCCAAGCTTGGCTAAATTGTTGGTAGTTTGGAATAATCAGAACAAAAGTCCTCCTGAAGGTGAGCAAATTGGGATCCCTAAAAGTTGTTTTAACATAAATTCTACCTTTTGGTTAAGGTTCCTTATCTTTGGTTCAGAGTTTTCGTATCGCAATGAGCTTATTAGAAGTGAGATTAGCTATTTCAAAAATGTTTTTCTTCTGTGTGAAGAAGATCCCATACATTTTCTCAACTTATTACGTATGGATCGATTTTTGTTACCCCTTAAGTCTGCGATCATGGAATGTAAAAGGTCAGGTTTAGCTAAGAATTCTAATGGACGTTAAACACAGAAAAGATCAAAGACATCAAGATCCTTAAAATGGCACCATCTATTCAACTCTTAATCTCTCCCTTAGATTGCTTTTTTCATATCGAATGTTGGTTGTTCATTCTTTATCAGTTGTTTTTCTCACTTCCTGCACTATTGTATTAAACAATAAGATTAAAGTTCAGCTAAATTTCCATAAAACAGTGTATTATCTGTTATTAAAGTTAGCTTAACTCTAAGAATGACTTTAGAAACCACAAACAAAATCTATGAATCAGAAAGTGCGTCAGTAGAACAACAGCTTTGAAGTGTTCCCTTGTGGTGGTGTTAACTGTTTTTTATTGGAGGCATCACCGGCGCCTGGCTGGATTTTTGTGTCCCTTTAGAATCAGAATAAAGCTGTTGACAGGTCCCACCCACGGGACATGGGCCAGCACCGAAACCCTTTTCTTCACTGTTAACAACAAGCCATGATCTGATGTGTTTACAAGTTCCAGTTTAGTTTGTTGTTTTGTTTTAAGATCATGTTTCTTTCCACATATTTAATCTATATTCTCTATGTTGATTTTTTTCTTTACATCTGCGCAGCTGCTGATTTTAACCGGCTTCAGTATTTATGAGCAGGAGCCCCAAATGAAAATCGGAGCCAAATCCTCCAACATGAAGTTTGGGTTTGTTGGATTTTATACAGAGGTTTTTAGCTGAGATGTTAACAAAATCACATTATTTCCCACAATTCCCTCAGCCCAGCCGTCTCAGTCCTGCCTTGGAAATGAAAGAAGTAATCATAGTGACAAGGGAAAAATGAAAGGAGAAACTCAGAAACTCTTTAACATTTCGGCTCTACTGACAATAGTTTTTGACAGGAGACCTCAGACGTGGTTAGACGGACCTGGGGCTTCTCTCATCAGCTGCCAGGCTCCAGTCACTCCATTAATGAGGGGACACATTCTGTGTCATCTGTCTCTGCTTCAGTCCGTGCCGTGGACACTGCCCAAGATCTTTGAAAACATGAACAAAACACATACGGGAAAAAAAGTGTTGCTGATCCACCCCATGAGGGATTGTAGTGTGGTTAGATGTGCACATGCTTGAGGTTTGCGTAATAATGAGTCAGTGCAAAAATGTGAGCTCTAATATCACGTCTTTGTACTGCAAGTAATCTGTCAGTGATAAATAACCCCATATTCACGCACCACTGATACTTATAGATTTATAGTTTTAAAGTGCATAAAAGCACCTGTTACCTCTTTTGTTTTTTCACTGGTTAATATATTTTTAAATGACTTAACAAATTATAAACAAGCCAAATATAACTAATATTAACTTTTTTGTTTTAGAGTCTCTTTGGCCAAAGGTTGGTGTCCCTCTGAAAGTTGTACGCACCAAGGAGAACAAGCTGAGCAACCGTTTCTTCCCTTATGACGAGATCGAAACAGAAGCCGTGCTTGCAATTGATGATGACATCATCATGCTAACATCCGATGAATTGCAATTTGGTTACGAGGTGAGACATGGCCCCTCCTCCCCATCATTTTTTTTTCATAAATTCCTGTTATCATTTTACCAACAGCAGATTTGACAGTAATTCTCTTCAAGTCACTCAGAAATCCTGCAGAGCTTTGTTCTGTTTGGGAGATTTGACGGGCTGCTAAATGTGTTTCATGTGGAAAGAAGGATGACAGATCTGCTGCTGATGCTTTCCATATCCACATACCTACTCTCTGCCGCATGTTCACCTGAATGCATTTAGATGTTATTTGATCAAATTGTGCTCAGTTTAAGGGTAATTACATGAAATTGCCGGTTAAATTGGTGACAAGGCATCCCGCTTTTAGTAACCGGATCAGATATTCTGCTGCTGCTCAGATAGTTAGTCAGTCAGAGAGCTTTTCTCTGCTCAAGCATATGCTCTCCTAAGCCTTACTCTCATTTACTTTCCATTGTGATTTTTGGCTGAGAGATGAAAAAGCAGACACTGACATATGGTAGATTGAGGCTAAACTGTTCATTCTGAGCTTTTAAACTCTTTTAGAGTCGGGATCATTCATCTTTTCACTGCTGTGCTTCACTTGAGCTGAAATTGTCAGACGATCCATCTACTATCCTGTGATTTCCTCCAGGTGTGGCGGGAGTTCCCCGACAGGTTGGTGGGTTACCCGGGGCGGCTGCACCTTTGGGACCATGAGATGGGGAAGTGGAAGTATGAGTCGGAGTGGACCAATGAGGTTTCCATGGTTCTGACCGGAGCTGCTTTTTACCACAAGGTAAATGGTTCAAACTAGAAACTATTGAGATTTTCAGGAAACTTCAGGACCTTCACCTCTGTTTTCCCAAGTGAGTTGGATAGCTTAAATGTGTATGATTAAACTATGGCTACAATTAAACTGCTGGTATCAATTCTTGTTTTTTGGTTCCTCTTTTTTTTTTTTATGGACTTTGAATTTTTGAAATCCGATCTTTCTAACTGCTGATATGCAGCCGCTATCGGAATTCTTTCTGAACAAATCACGACATCAGTGACCCACACATGCAGAACAATGTTTACTGATGTAATGAGGAATACGACTGACACTGGAATTGTTCAATTTGGATCCTCCATCTAATGGGGAATGCCTGAAGTCTGGAGGAGAACTGACGGTTTCCTCCTGTGAAACCTGTTTTATATCAAATACGCCGGTTCCACCAATACGCCGTTATACAGTAGCTGTAAGTTAGAATCACGTTCCGTGGTCGCCTGGAACACATCAAATACGTTGATATACTTTGGAGAGAAGTTCTAGATAAGTTATGCATAAGTTAAGCACTTAAGTTACTCATAAGTTGTGGATAAGCTAGACACCACAACTTATGAGTAACTCACACTTAATGTATGTCAACGATCAGATAACTTAACTGTAACTTATGGCCGACTTATGGACATTTTGAGCATCTTAAAATTTCTCGATGTACTTGCCGCATGTCGACGTTTGACAGCATGTTTCAGCGTACTTCAGCACACTCATAACTTATACAAAACATAGCCATTACTTATCCAAAATATTCCAACGTTTTATCCAGATTTTTCGTCCGTCAGGTATACGGTGGCTAAATCGGCAAGGTGTGACAGGGATTTTAGCATAGCAAAGTGAGAAGTATGGATGTGTAGCTGGAGCTATGGAACCTCTCTGACTGCAGATGATTTGAAGACTATTACATGTGTGTCCGATCGAATACCACATCCAGCAGTAGCTGCTACTGGGGGGTTTCTTAATACATTAAGAAACTTTGGTTTCTTAATGTATTATAGTCTTTCAGCGAAATTCTGTCATATTGACTTAATAATAATTTACTTTATTGATCTCACATTGGAGAAATATACCTCTGCATTTAACCCATCCCCTTGGGGAGCAGTGGGCTGCCATTGTGCAGTGTGGGGTTAAGGGTCTTTGCTCAGAGACCCAGAGTGGCAGTCTGTGGGAGTGGGGCTCGAACTCAGAACCTCTGGATTCCAAGCTCTATGCCCTAACCACACAGGCCACCACCCCCAATTCTGGTGGAAGTGACGTATGCCGTAAAGCAGGCTGCACATTTGTAGTTGCTTGTGTGGCAGGGTTACTGCCTCCCTCCTCAAAGTTGCTTAGTGCTGATGAAAGAGATACAGACCACTCAGGCAATGACAGAGGTGCCATTCAACTAGAAAAAGTTTTGAGAATATATTATGCAGGTTGAAAAGTTACTTGGTGTTGGTTTAAACGTGTTTTTTTGTTTGTTTTTTTTCCTGCCTCTTTCTTTTTTTATCTAAAATATGAACACCACTTTGTGAACCCTGGTTCATCTTAAAGTACTTAATAAATATATTTTGGTATGGAATCATCTGTCTGATAGTTGGAGAAAAAGAAAATCGCTCAACTATATTTACACTAATCAATAATGTTCATAGTGAAAGAAAGGCCATTTGATAGCCTGTGCTCTACTTTAGCTGCTGCAGCTCTGTGTTATGTTGGCCCTCCCCAACAGGAGCAGTCCTGGCAAGTTAGCCAAGAGGTTAGCCTTATTCATCACAGATTCATGACATTTAACATGAAGCTCTGTACTGCCAAAAGATATTGAAAAGGATTTCTCTGACTGTTGAGAACAACTTTTCTTTTTTTCCTTTTCTTTGTAGAGGATTGGTTTAAATCTAACTTAATAATAACTTAAATGTTAAGTCCTGCACAATGAAAGAATCATGAAAGAACTGCCTGCTACTGTTACTTCTTTATATACCGGTAGATTTTTTTTTTCAGAAAAAAAAGTATAAATGGAAGATTTATTTTAAGTGTAATGTGCAGAACGATTGTCCTGGTTGAAAAGGATGAGCAGCTTCCCTTGCTTTAGATTTAATATATATATATATATTTGTAATTTATATTTAAAAGCTAGTTTTGTCTGTTAAAACTAAACAGATTTTTTTCAGTACAGCATTTTAGAATAATTTTTTTTTAATATTTACATTGACTTTTTTTGTCCACCAAATTCTGTCTAAATTCTTATTAAAGGGCGATGTTCCACTGCTGCCTTTTTTTTTTTTTTGCTCAAACTTTTCTCAGTGACCAAAGTTTTGAATATGTTTGTGTTTCAGTACTTCAATTATTTATACACTTACAAGATGCCAGGAGACATCAAGAACTGGGTGGACGCACACATGAACTGTGAAGATATTGCAATGAACTTCCTTGTGGCAAACATCACAGGCAAAGCCCCAATAAAGGTGAGTCGACTTCTGCAGAGGTAGGCTGAAGCTTGCACCGGCAGAGAGGCATTTCTGGGTCTGATCAGCTCTCACCCTTCAACATAACTGCCTCTCCTCCCTTTTCCTCCATACTCAGACTCCCCCCAGGTGCAGGGGCCCTGAGCTTAAGCCCGACCTTAACCTCCCTTATCTGCATGTCACTCACTGACACTCCCCCTCTGAGTATGTTTAGTCAGCCTCACCGGGGCTTTAGCATACCCTTCTGTCAAATCCCTGGATCCACACTTCTCTACACCTGCACACACAGCCCTCCTCCTACTGCATCTTCTAACAGGTTTCTCCAGAAGACGCTTCGTCATTCCTATCACCCCTTGCACCATCACCCCTGCCCCCCAACCCCTGCGTCTCTCACTTTCCTCTGAACGGTCATACATTCACAAGTTAAAGGCCCTGGATGCTTATTCTGGCCAGACCAGTCCAATATAATAAGAAGTAGCTTCTGTCAGGCCGTCAGGTCACCAACAAATCACCGAAGTGTGCAAATATCACTGCTTCACTGCTGTGTTTCTGCTTAGGTGACCCCAAGGAAAAAGTTCAAGTGTCCTGAATGTACTGCCATTGATGGACTGTCTCTAGACCAGACACACATGGTGGAGAGGTACGGTGGTTTTTACAAATGTACACTTCATTTCTGATCTGTTTATTTTATTTTTTGTCTTGGATGCTAACAGACTGTATTTAGAAACTAAAACAATTTTAATTGTTCAGCAAAAAAAAAATCCATTGAGATTTTGGGTTATTGATCGTAAAACGCCCGGGTTGTTTTAAACATAAATTAACTTGTGTTTGCTTTTTTTCTTCTCTCTACTTTTTTGATAAAGTAAAATTGGCAGATAAGCCATTTAAACACAGGAATGATTGTCTGGACAAGATGTGGAGAGAAACATTTTAGACAATGCTCTTATCAATCCAGCTTTTCTTCAGCCTTGTGACAAAAATCTTTCTGTTCACACTATAGTGATATTTTTTTTCTTTTGGTGCATTGCTTAAAATCAAACTGATTAGAGACACTTTATAAGCAAGCAAGAGCAACAAAAAGGTGCAGATATTTAAAATCAAAGTTTTAAATAAACTTTTTATTGATATTGTTTCCTGAAGCTCAAACTAATAACCTCGATTTAGGTTGTTAATCCCTGATTGTAAGAAAAATTCCTCTTCTTCTTCCTCTTAGGTCTGAGTGCATCAACAAGTTTGCATCTGTTTTTGGAACGATGCCTCTGAAGGTGGTGGAACACCGTGCAGATCCTGTGCTCTATAAAGACGATTTTCCAGAGAAACTGAAAAGCTTCCCCAACATCGGCAGCCTGTGACAGCAAGCGTAGAGACAGTTCACAGCCTCAGCACTGCAAGAATCCTCATCGACTTCATGTGTCATGTTAAGACACCTTAAATCTACATTCAACGTATGACTGAATTCAAATTTTTAGTTTGAATAATAATCCTCAATCTTCCTATTTGTAAACACTGTTTCCTCGTAAATATTGCCTTGTATAATGAGAACACGATGTTAAAACTTTACCAACGTTGCATAAAGCGCTGCTGGGGGTTCAGCGATCAGTCAGCTTAACTCGGTCTCACTGTTTCTTTTCCGGAGCTGAACACTTGAGCCTCCAGCTGCTCTGGATTCAGCCACCATGTTGAACGTATTTATATTTCGCAGCCATGCTGTATAATTTATAACTCTTTAACAAACGTTTTCTTTTGTTACCCTGTTCTCGTTTCATTTTCCAAAAATGGGAACAAACTTGATTGTTTTTAGCTGCAATGGAAGAAAAAAAAAAATAGTTTTAAATAAATGATTTGGACATTTCTATGTAGGCTTTATTCACAGCGTGATGGATTGTGATGACATGCAGATGTTGCACAGTAAAGGTTTCATAATGCGTTCTGTATTACACAATCATGTCGGACCGTTAGACAAAGCTGGCATCGTAAATCTAATATTTAGAGGGAGTAACTGCTGGTTTTTGGGGGTAAAAGTCTCTGTGCTACTGGAATTTATTTAAAATGTACTTTTTTATTGTAGAAGCAAACATTTCATTCTCTGTGTATATATATATATATATCTGTCTGAATATAGATCTATGAAAATGTTGCTTTAATTATGCACCAAAACCTTTCAGTCATGTTTGATCACTGCATATCGGTAACTGTCTGCCTTACAGTCAAAAACATATTAGGTGTTAATTGATAAACAATTTTGAGATTATTTCCATTATCTTTCTTTAATTCGTGTAACATGTTTTCTTTTTTATTGCTCAGTTTGTAGACGGTAACTCTGAGAACTTTGCAGTTTTTTATAACACAACAGGCTCCGTTTTTATTTCTTTATCAATGCCATCAAGTGTTTCCATGGGAGTTTGTGTGTTATGTATGTCTTTTTAATACAGTAAAAAAAAAAAAAAAGTTAATGTGTGGTTTATTTGAGATTATTTTTCCTTTTGAGCACTTCAAGAGAACGATGCATGACAGTATTTATTTTTGGAGCAGCATCTTGTGACGTGGCCGCTACGCCGTTCCTCGCAGTCCGTCACCTGCTCTTATTATGCAGCCTAATCCACCTCGTTCAATGTCAGCAGTTCAAAAGGGTGCGGTTCATATTTTTGTCAGCTTCAATTAACGTGACTCTCCAGGCTGGTTGTGAGCTTTAATTTCAGTGCTTGTTTCCCTTCAAAGGGACTAAAATGTGGAGAGATTTCAGGATGTGACCAGAGGGATGACACCACTTTTTGGCACAACAGCATGATGGAGCAAATTCAAAGGTCTTTAAATAATTTAGACCGGTTTTTCACAAATGGCACCCAACCTACATTATTATTATTACTGAGGGTCTTCTGTTAAAACTAGTAGTGACAAGTGATCTCAGAATGCTAATAGGAGAAATGCTGGTCTTTTATTGTCTACTGTATGATTTCATTCTGATTTGTGTTGTATTGGGTTCACTAGGCAACCAGACCTAATGGTACTGCAAGTATTTGTAGTTTGGAACAACACAACCTTTTGGTATAACTTTTTTTTTTTTTTTTTTTTTTTTACTAAAGTAAAGTGTTTAGTTTATAAACTATAGCCATGAAAATTATTTCCCTAAACTTATTTTTTTTTTCTGTGCGCTGACTTTTCTTCAATAGTTACATTTTAAAATCCTGATGTACATTAAAGGGATGCAAAAACTGTATCCTTTCCGAATATGCTTTAGTGTAATGATAAAATAAACAATTCATCCTTTCAAATCTAGATTTTTCTTTTAGCTGTTTGTCTTTGCTCTTCAGACCCTGCTACTCTCTAAAACTGAATTATTAGCCTGTAACCTAAAAAGCATTTTTTTTTTCTGCTGCAGAAAAAGCTGACGGCATCCATTTTCAGTATTGTTGGTCATTTAGTGTGACTCATTTCGTCCGCCTCATGGTTTCCACTTAAGTGCACAGAGGATTAATTGCAATTTCTGCATAAAAGCAGTTCTATAAAATTTCTCTTTTTTTTTTTTTTTTAGGTTTTTAAAAGTTGTTTTATGTGAACTTGCAGTGGCTGCCCAGTAGACTGTAGGTCGGACATGAGGTGAAACACTTTGAACTCTAGAACTGCAAAGATTTCAATGGGTTTTTATGAAAAACAAAAATCTGGAAATTAATACTGGTAAAGTATTTCCGTAAAAGTTTAAAAAACAATCCACTGGACTTGGTTTCCAAGATTTGAACAAATCTTGGAAATCAAGTCCAGTGGATTGTTTTTTTTAAACTTTTACAGAATGACTATGACCTGGATTGACTGAGAATCTTCATCAG